TGAATAGCTTGTACTCTAAATCTTGAATCACTTCCACCCTGAATTTTGGATAACTTCTACTCTGAATCTTGGTCAACTTTTACTCTGAATCTTGGATAACTTTGATCTTGAATTTTGGTTTCCTTTTACCCTAAATTTCTGATAACTTTTACCCTGAATCTTGGATAACTTTTACCCTGAATCTTGGATAACTTTTGCCCTGATTCTTGGATTATTTAAAAATAGTATAAAGAATATGGCTCTTTGTTCAGGGGATTGTTCAGAATGAAAACTCGTTGTGGATTGTAACGGTTTCTGAAAACAAAGAATGAACAATTTGAACACATATTGAGGTTATTTGAGATTATAAATAATATAGAGAAAATAGCCAAGGTTAACAAGCAATAAAAGGATCATAACATAAGTAAATGATAACATACCAATTTGCTGAACAATCAAGTTTGGTTCAAATTTGGTCAAGTTTGGTTCAAAATTAATTTTGTCTGAGCTCATTAACTCTGGTCCTACCTAAAAGGTCCCAACCTTATGTATACGGGAGAAGTATGTTCAGTAAAATTCTTTACAAATAGTTAGCCTGATTCTTAAATAGTTTTACCCTGATTTGAAATAGTACGATTATTTACTGCGATTCGGATTATCTGACTTTTTTCAAAAACTCTAAATAGTTTTTAGTACGATTCTTCTTGAACAATTAATATCCCGATTAAAGGCGAAATTTACCCTGATTCGAAATATTGCGAGGATTTTCAGACATAGTTATGAGGGTTCTGACAGAGAACAGGCTGGTGGGCGCATTTGTCGCCACAAGTCTTAACCCCAACTATAAAAAAAAATAGTTATGAGGGGTTAAGGGATTCGTAATCCAAAGCAATGGTAGAGTTCGGGATCCGGGGCCAATGTTGCATTTCGAAATCCGAGGCCAAAGTCAGGGTTCGAGATACGGGGCTAATGTTGGAGTTTGAGATCCGAGGCCAACGTCGGAGTTTGTGAACCGAGGACAGTGTCGGTGGTCAAGATCCGGGGCCAATATCGGGGGCCAATATGTCGGAGTTCTAGATACGGGGCCAATGTCGGTGGTTTGAAATCCGTGGCTAATTTCAGGGTTCGAGATTATGGAAACGCTCCATGAAATAAAGTTAATTTTAATTTTATTTCAATTTCAGATCATGGAAGTTTGCCTTTACATGTCATTATGTTATGATTACACCAAAGTTTAGCGGCTTAATATGCAATTTTTGAATTGCCTGAATATTGTGGATATGTTTATTACGAGAAATGTTTCTTATATTTTATTGAGATAAATGCCAGACATTTTTTATCCCATTGGGATTTTTTCCAGGCTTACATTATATTTAGTTAAGATTTATTCCAGGCATATACGATATTTTATAGGGTTTTTCAATCATATATTGTATTTCATTTAAATTCGTTAAAAGTACTTATTTTATTTTCTTAGAATTTGTGCCAGGCTTACATGATAGTTTATTGAGATTTTTTCAAGGCATATACCATATTTATTGAAATTTTTTCCAGGCTTCTGTGATATTTTACTCGGATATGTTATACCGCTTATACGTTTTGTTCAACTAGGTTTTAGGCATATACGATTTTTAAATATAAGAAAGTATAAAAAGCTTTTGATTTCCCTGTAATATATATTTATATTTGAGGTGCTGTGTCTTGAACGTGAATTGGGCCTCGTCTGAACTTTTGAACTTTGATTTGGCCACCTGCATTTTTGGGCCACCACTTCCGTTTCGGGCCGCGGCTGCAGTTTCAAGTCACGGGTGCAGTTTCATGCTACTGCCGCAATTTCAGGCAATGGCTGCAGTTTCAGGAGAATTCTAGAGGACAGCCCAAATCAACAATCAATTTCATATTCCTTTCCGTGGGTAAGCAAGATACACTCACAAAATGAGTGGTTCATGTTGTCCAAATAGTGGCACAGTTTCTGCACGTACCACTGGTACTGTACGTTCTTTTCTAATCACACTAGCGTAAAAAATACATAGCTATTTGGACGAAATCTCGCTTATTTTTCCGTTGTAGAGGGCAGTGTAGCCTGTGAAATTTAGTGCTTGAAGAAATAGAGCAGTAAGTACGCAACCAAAACTTAAGCATGCTCGCTCGCAAGACAACAGTTTTGCACCCAGCCTCCTCCTACTCTTGCCTAACCGCTTCTGGTCTGACCTACTAACGTTATACTCCTTCAAACCAACATGAACGGACCTAATAGACGTCATTGGCTGCTGTATGGCAAAAGATGGGGGCAAGTAAGCAGACGAGGCCGGTCATTGGCTGTATGAGAATGGAGAGGCAAGGTAACTTGTGTAATGTGTAGGTTAGGCCAGAAGGGGCTAGGCTGGCTGCAGAACTGCATGTGTATGAGCGAACATGCTTAAATATTGACTGAAGCTGAAGATAATACACCCTGGCCTAAATATTGGCTTTAAACAGTGTATTATAATCAAGATTACGGTGTTAGTGGTCTGCGTCTTTCGGCTCTGAAACTGAGTGTAGTTATTACATGCTGAGGCTGGACGTTGGCTCTAGGGCTAATTTAATGGATGAATCTCAAGCCTATGGCTGCGCCTCCGTTTACGGCCACGCCATTACATTCATGTCACTGTTTCACTTTCAGGATTAAGCGAATATTTCAGATTCAGGAACATATCCTGACTAAGATGCGTGGGCTTGTATCTCAAGATTTTGAATTTTTAATGGAGAATGATTACATCTGTCATCCATGGCACAAGACTGCGCAGTTTTTGAACAAATGTTGACAAATATTGGTAAAAAATTTTTTCCAGGGTAGAGTTGTACTCGGCAGGCTGGCAGGCTATTGGTGGAGCATAAGCAGAACGTGCCACCACTGCATCGGCGATGTGGCAGCATAATACCACATAGGTGTGTGTTTGGCACCCAACTACCTATGATCTACCTTTAATCTCCCTATGTGATTGTTAATAAAACATCAGTGCTTCACCAATAATATTTATTAAATCCGGCCGGTTCACTTCTGCTTACAGTTCCTGACGCGAAACTGTAATGGGCTTGACATGCAGGGTTCCATTGGGTGTAGTTCGTAACGAACCGCTGCGGAGAACCGCCCTTGAACGACAGCAGTGAACCGCTCAACGACCTGCAGAGATCTGTAAACGAACCAAAAATTTAACAACAGACTATGACCAGCCTGAGTCATCAAAACTGTACAATTAATGAGTACATTTGTAAAAAGGTGCTATTGCACTGGAAGACCATGTACACAGGTATTAGTGAAGAGAAAGATGCAGAAAAAACTAAGGTGTTTAAAGGAATCGCCAAATCATCAGAACAACTTGGTTACTTCTTGGGTTTGAATGTTTTGAACGTGTTGTCGTTTAGACTGGACGTTAACATGTGTTGTCGTGAGGACATGTGCGTCAGGAGGACTGGACGTTAACGCGTGTTTTCAGGAGGACTGGACGGTAACATGTGTTGTCAGGAGGACTGGACGTTAACATGTGTTGTCAGGAGGACTGGACGAAAGAGGAAACCTTCATTTAGCAATTAATAAGACCAAATGAATGAGTTATCCATAGAAGGCTACCCTTGATCAACCTGTCTCAGATCTACCTCTATGTCTAACTACTTTGAATATTTCATTTCTCCCTATTCTTTGCTGTTACTTAATTTAAGAGCAAGGAAACCGAGTTGCTCTGTTGACTCCTTTAACTTACGGAGACGGCCACCAGATTGATGCCTAAGCTATCAACCTCCACATCAAATTTTGCTTTTTCATCAAATCCCACGTTGGTTAATGTAATGCGGCCATCAGATATTGGCGCCGTGAAAGTGTTGCCATTGTCCTGTCTCTTGAATGTCAGTGTGGTCCCGGGGAGGACGCCACAGACGTCGTAAGGTGTCAGGTCAGTAGGCCAGGAGACGACGATATCGGACTCAACTTGCTCGTAGGGGTACAGGCTTATTTTCCCGAGTTCGTTGAGAGGTACTGTAAAAGAATGACATCCTTTATGAGAGGGTCGTAGAGGAGTACTGTTGAAGGAATTATATGAATTATAACTCAGTTCCAACTAAGTTGCAGGTTTGAAACTCAAGCCGCTAGCACCACTTCGGGAAAAATGTTGTCTGAATATGAGCCAAATATTGTACGCAATATGGTATAAGTTTGCATATATTGTCTAACACTGTAACTAGCATAATTCGTACCTAATATTGTACCTGAAATGCTTGGAATTACACTAGTCCACGGATGTGAAGTAGAGTAATACCCAGAGTTCAATTTTTCAGACTCCCATTTCTAGTTGGGTTATCAAAACAGAATCATAATTGATGATGAATACTGACTATTTGGACCTATGATAATGCTATAATTAGGGTTCTTACATTCTAACTCATAGGTATCCGAGACCTCTCCGCCGTCCGTCACCTGGATGTACGTGACAGAGAGCGAGGAAGTCAGACAAATATCAGGCACAGCCACAGTTCCGATCTCGATGGTGCCTTTTGGTTCCGATATGGGGAAGTCAAGATCCGGACCAGTGCGCGTTTCGTCCGTGTATTTAATGCCAAACCTAATGTTGAACTTGGTGAAGCTACCGCATCCAGGTGAAGCCTGTAGGGTCAAAGCTTGCTGAGTTAGAGAAGGTGGTGGTAAAGAGTTGGTGTGGACAATGTGTGTGGACAGTGGGTGTGGACAGTGGGTGTGGACAGTGAGTGTGGACAGTGGGTGTGGATAGTGGGTGTGGAAAGTGGGTGCATGTGGACTTCCCTACTAGGCTTCGTCGGGATAGGACGTGTCGCGGGTGGCTCTCACTGAAGTAAATCGTTGACGATTATTTTTCTTTGATGACCAGCTGTTGTTAATTAATTGTACAGACTGGGCCCAAGTAATGTAATTCAGTGTTTTGACGGGAAATAAGGGAAGTAAGTATAAAAGAAAAAAAGAGAATAATTTGCTTAGTGTGAGAGTGTTCAGAAAATTACTCTTTTATATATAAAATAGACAAGACCAAAAAAAAACAGATCCGTGGAATGAAATTATAGCATTCAATATGGGAAGCAATGAAGTATATACATTGAATGTCAGGTGTTTACATTATATCACTGAAACAAATAAGAGTGTTGAGTTGTAGTAAGAGAGGGAAGCAGCAAGTGTGCTTGAAGCGAAGGCATTTACGACTGCCTGCCGAGCCAACAGCGCGGTCTGTGAGCCCAGCGTTCCAAGCTTGGTACTTGTACTTGGTAATCTTGGTACTTGTTTGGGACATAGCAGTCCCAGGCCACGAGGGATCGCCGCCTCTGATTATCGTTCATCCGCCCTCATTTGGGCCACCTGATGCACGATGACCTTATGACCTTATGATGAGTTTTAGGACGTCGTAGTCCACGGTCACGCTGATGCGCCGCCTTCGTCGTCCTCCGTCCCCGAGTCGTCGTCGGATGTAACGTTGGACGTGTTCCGTCTATTTGCCCTCCCTTTGGGCCACTTGATGCAAGATGCTGTTGCTTAATTGTCACTTGCTGAGGGTGGTTTCCCATTATACTGGACAATTCGGGATCTTTCTCAACCACTTGTCCAGTTGTCTCTTGAATGTTGCAAGAGTAAACTCCCCTCCTCTCAGCGCTTTTGGTAAGACATTAAAGAGCCTCGGTCCTACCACGGACAGTGATCCCTCACGAAGAGTCTGTACTCTGACCGCGGCTCGGTTATTAAATGGGGGAATCCTGCACAGTCTCCCCCTTCTTTCGTTGTAATATGTCATTATTTTGGAGGTCTCACTCTCGAAGTTGGGAGCCAGTCCGTTTATCATCTTCCAAGTGTACAGTATGATATACCTTTCTCTTCTTCTCTCCAGTGAGTACAGTTCCAGGAGTTTCAGCCTTCCCCAGTAGATCAGGTTCAGCTCCCTCATGCCGCTGATCCTGTACGTGAAGGTCCGCTGCACTGCCTCCAGTTTCCGCACCGCACCCGCCTTGAGTGCCGACCAAAGTTAGCAGCAATACTCAAGATTGGGGAGCACGAGGGCTCTGAAGAGTGTAATCATTGGTGCTGCTTCTCTCGTTCGAAATGTCAGCCATATCCACCCCCTCCGTTGCCGGCTGCGCTCGACTATTTCCTCGATATGGGCATCGAACGTGGCTTCAGTACTCATCAACACTCCGAGATCTCGAACTAGTTGCTTCTCCTCAATTTCTGTGCCATCTGATGCCAAGTAGCGATGTGGCATCCCGATCTCTGTGCGGACTCTGTATCTCATTACTTCGAACTTGGTGCCGTTGAATTACATATTGTTCACTAGGGCTCAATCGATAGATCATCCTGTAATCTCTCGCAGTCTAGGTCATCTGTGATCTTCATCAGCACTCTTGTATCGTCCGCAAATGATGATGTAGATGCGTGGGTGAGTTCCGAGTCTATGTCGGCAATGTGGATGAGGAAGAGGATCGGTCCAAGCACGATGCTGTTAGCTTGCTGTTGCTTGGCCGATGCTGTTGCTTGCTTCTCGCCGCTGGTAGTGTTGCAGGGGAGGTCGATCCGGGATTGTGCCCAGGAAAACTTCCAATTGCCTCTTGAAGGTCTCCAGGGTGAACTCCCCCTCTCTTAGATTCTTTGGCAGGACGTTGAACATCCTTGGCCCTGCCACGGAAAGTGATCCTTCCCGCAGGGATTGAAATCTGACTGAGGATCTGTTACGTATAGGTGGGGATCTTGCACTGTCTCCCCCTAATCTCGTTGCGATATGTCTCAATCCTGAAGGTCTCGCTTTCGAAGTTTGGCACCATTCCGGTTATCATTTTCCATGTGTACAGAATGACATACCTCTCCCGTCTCCTCTGCAGTAAGTACAGACCCAGGTGCCTCAACCTCTCTCAGTAGTTCAACTCTTCCATCCTTCTGATCCTGGAAGTGAAGGCTCGCTGGACACCTTCCAGTTGCCGCACTACACCGAGTGTGAACGGGGTCCAGAGCTGGCAGCAGTATTCAAGAATTGGTATTACAAGGGCTCTGAAGAGTGTGATCATCGGTTTTGCTTCTCTTGTTCTGAACGTACGCCAGATCCGCCCCATCTTTCGTCTACCTCTTGCCAATTTCGTTCTCCTGTCATGAGTATCGGGGTTTGCTGAATAGTATTTCAAATTGCGCTCCCAGAAGTTCGCACATGCCCTGGTCGTCTCCAACAAGAACATCGTTATTTTTCAGAGGACCCACTGAGGCTCTGATTTTGGCCTTTGACTGGGCACATTTGTAGAAATATTTAGGATTCTCTCGAATGGCAGACACCGCTTGCACCTCCACAATTTGTTGCTCAGCCTGGTGTGAGTCCTGCAACTGTCGTTCAGTTTCCTTAATTTTCTTCTTTAGACGTTCCAACCTCCGCCTCTCCATATTCCTGGAGGCGGCCGTTATCCGATTATTCAATCTCGCTAGTTTTCTCATGAGGATCCGTCTGTCCCTCGGAATTATATGGCGTTTGGGGGTCGTTTTTCCCGGCGTGTGACACACGCATACCTGCAGTAATACTCCGCACAGCTTGTTGTACATTGCTTCGGCGTTCAATTCCAGAAAAAAAAACCGATGCACCCCGAGAAAAACAGGCCCTAAAGTCCGCAGCATTCCGGGAGACCGACGAATCCTTATGAGAAAACGCAAGCGATTAAATAAGCAAATGGCTAAATCCACTAGTGATATGAGGAGACAGTCTAGTAGATTTGCACAAGGAAAGCGAAATCAGGCTGTTGGACTCGCACAGGATGGAAGAACAAGTCGTGGAAGAGCGAGTGGTTGAGGTCATCAAAGAGAGACCCAAGTATTTTTTTAAATACGCTCAGCCTGAGGCTAAAATAAGGACGCCAGTAGGCCCTCTTAACGATAATGAATTCATTGTCGGAGATGACCATGGCATGTGTGAGTTACTGGGACCGCAGTTTGATTCAGTGTTCAGTAACCCCCGCTATTCAAGGGAGGAGATTGAAATTGAAGTTCTCCAGGAGTTGCCAGGCGGAAGAGGGTTGGAGAACATTGAGTTTGGACCAAAAGACATGGAAATAAGTATCAAAGAAGTGGCGACGTTTTCAGCGACAGGGCCCGATGGAATTTCGACAGTGCTGTTGAAGAAGTGTGTTGGAGCTCTGAAGGCTCCGCTCTCAATACTCTGGAAAGCCTCGATGACGGAGGGAATTATTCGTGAGGGCCTCGAAATGGGACTGATAACGCCAATCCACAAAGGAGGTCCGAGAGACAGACACCAAAATTACAGGCCTGTGACCTTGACCTCACATGTGATCAAGGTATTCGAGAAGGTAGTGGCCAGGAGGCTTGTCCAGTATATGGAAGAGGCTGACCTGTATAATAATGGACAACAAGGTTTCCGGCGTAATCGTTCCAATTTGTCACAGTTACTGGAGCACCATCACTAACTTGTGGCCCAGCTGGAGGAGGGAGCTGGCGTGGACGTAGTTTACCTAGACTTTGCTAAAGCTTTCGATAAAGTTGATCATGGGGTGCTTTTCAGAAAGCTGAGGCTGTTGGGGGTAGGAGAACGCCTGTTAAGTTGGATTCACAACTTCCTTACAGTTGTACAAACNCCACTACTGTCCCCGTGTTGTACTGGCCGCCACTACTGTCCCCGTGTTGTACTGGCCGCCACTACTGTCCTCGTGTTGTGCTGGCCGCCACTACTGTCCCCGTGTTGTACTGGCCGCCACTACTGTCCCCGTGTTGTACTGGCCGCCACTACTGTCCCCATGTACAAGCACTTTTAAGGTTGTAGGTAAGCTATTGGATCTGAAGCTTTTGTATAATGAAAAATTCTATTTTCTTCTATTCTAAATTATTCTATTATTCTAAATTCTTATTCTGTACATATGAATAATTTATTTCCATAGAGCAAAGTCATTGAAAGAATAAGTAAATAAAGATATATATACGGCCTTACGTCGTAAGATACGATGATCGTTTTGTTCGGGAATAAGTTGGCTTCCATTGTGAATCCCGGCACCACATTGAACGGCCAACTCCCTTGAGGTTCTGTTCAATAGAAGACAACTTAGTGGTAACATTAACATTAGCCTTGTGTGGGTAATCCTGACCCAGAGTATCAGTGCAACGGTCAGAAAGTGGGTCAGTATTAGAACATTATTGTGTCATGTTATTCTTAAGTATCAAAACACAATAATATTCTAATACTTGACCCATTTATATTTCTGAGCTTGAACTCCTGTGTACATATGAGATAAATACTAATTCAATCAAATCAGATGAAAACATTATGGAAAAATTTGTGGCTTTATATGAAAAAAAAATTTTATGTTCACATGTTGAACTGAATCACCTCGTGTTTATCTAATATGAATCTTTTCTAAAACAAAGCTGCACCGTCCGATCCAAAACTACTTAGTCTGAATTAGAGCAACATAGTTCGAACCAAAGTTACATAGTATTGAATTTCCAGTATTCGATGAGAAAATGTTGAGTAGATCTACCATCATTTGTGGTACCTGGCTTGGTAGTCGCCACCGTGGCGGTGGTACCGAACTTCTCTCCGGTAGATTGACCGAAGGAGACGCTGAAGACTATTCCGCATCTTGGGATGTTCTCAATCGTCGTTTTGAACAAAGTGCCTTCGACGTAATTCTCCTGGCCGGAGAAGCTAACGATGAAGCCGGGATATTTGCAGCCAACATCGTCTGCAGTCCACGTCACGTCGAAGCTGTTGTTCGTACCCGCCGTCAGGGTAGCAGCCACCGTCAACACTTTGCCATAGGCTTTATATAAAACAAAAATTAATATATATGTTCGCGTTTTGAACTAAATTGTTTCGTGTTATTCCAATATGAATCTTCCATGAAGCTACTTAGTCCGAACAAAGCTACATAGTCCGAACCTAAACTACATAGTCCAAAACATAATTACGTAGTCAAAACCCAAAACTGTATAGTCCAAAACCAAGCAACATAGCCCAAAACAAAGCTACATAGTCCTAACCAAAGCTACATAGTACTCAATTTCCCGTATTCGATGGTATTGTGAATATTGTGTAGATCAACTATCATTTGTAGTACCATACCCGGAATGGTAGTCTGGGCGGTGGTACCGAACTTCTCTCCGGTGGGGAGACCGAAGGAGACGATGACATCTGTGTTGCTGCACTCTGGGATGTTCTCTATCGTCGTCTGGGACGAAGTGGTTTCGACGTACTTCTCCTGGCCGGAGAAGCTGACGAAGAAGCCGGGGTAGTTGCAGCCACCATCATCTGTAGTCCACGTCACGTCGAAGTCGTTATTCGTACTCGCCTTCAGGGTCGCAGCCACCGTAAACAATTTGAAACTTCCTGTTGAAAATAGAAAGAAACGCGTTTATTTAGAAGAGTCTCTTCATACCTTCCCTTAATTAACTAGAAAAATGGGATTTTTTACATTGCTATCCAGTCTTCGAAATTAAAGTACCCACCGTAACTGGCTGTAACTGGACTGGACCAAAAGTGGGAAAGATGACTTGCGAGAGTTTGCAAGAAAACCTGTATGCAATACATGACTGCAAACTAATGCAAAATTCACCCTTAATGTGAAGCAGCGGAAGAGTCGGGATAAAACTCAGCTACTTGGCCCCGGACGGCACAGAAATTGGGGAGAACAAATTTTTTCACGACTGTGCAGTGAGGAAGAGTACTAATGTCACGTTTGGTGACGTTTAGGAGCAAAAACTGCAAGAAGCAGGCAAAGGTAATGTGGACGTTCGGAACAAAAGAACCGGACTGATGATCACGCTCTTCAAATCTCTTGTGATACTTCTCCTTGATTACTGCTGCCAACTGTGGACCCCGTTTACGGTTTGCGCAGTGCGGGCATTAGGAGCTATGTCAAACGAATCTTCATGCGAGGAAACGAAATCTTCAAGGTGTCAAAATATCACAATGAGAGAAGACACTGTGTACAACACTCCATCCGACAAAATTGTTAGTTTCTGAGCTCAGTTTGCGGAAGCTATTCATTTCCATAGCGGGACCAAGGCTGTTTTACGTCATGATTATGGAGATAACAAGAGTGGGAGTCTTACGCTCTGGAGGCCTTCAAGAGACTAGACTTGTCACTAGGCACAATCAATGGTCACACGGGGTTGGCCTTAGAAAAAGACAACGTAGCATCAAGACCTGCAACTGCAATGTTCAGAACCCCACCCACACAAGCCATCCCACCCACCGTAACTGGCCTTTATCAGAGGTGGGTTGAACTAATTCATCGCACCCACCGAAATTGGGCTCGACCAGAGGTGGGATGGAACCGAAACCATAGCACCCACCGAAATTTGGCTTGAATAGAGGTGGGTTGGCCTGGTAGATGGCTATGTAGTTTGCTACTGCTGCCTTCTGGTCGGCGCATGCATGACTCGGCACAGTTACGTTGTAGGTGGAACAGGTGGCACCATCAAAGTACAGTGTGGAGTGTCCTGCAAACATTGCGGCGGTTAGTAAAATGTTGTTTCATAGGAGCATTGGACAGTTATTATTGCATTCCATTAATACATAGTAAATGGCAGCTTAAGCGGTGGCAACCGCCGGCTGTAACCAACTCACCGGCCACGGCGGCAGCGTTGACGCAGTCCACGAAGGTGGCCGCGTTCGGCTGGGGGCTTCCGAAGCATTTCAACATCTCCTGGTGAGTGTATGTGCGGCTATACACGATCCCCTTTTTGGACTTGATGGACTGGAACACGACCGACATTTTGCTTTTCTTGCAAGATGACATGGGGCCTTTGGGGGTCACAAGCACCTGTAATCATTAAAATGGTGAATATATACCAGAATATTGATGTTGGTGACAGGACACAGTTGAGAACTTGAGCCAGTTGCTCACAAACAAACTTTTGGTGGCACAGCAAAGCCTACATTTCATGAATGCATGGGAATTATAGCTTAAATTTTCATAAAATCCAAATGCAAAAATAGGTTCACAAATTTCAGTTATATTAGAAGCGTGTGATGGTTGTTTCTACTCACTTCAACAGCAGGGCCTGGAGGCAGGCTCGCCTGTGGGTGGGATAAGGGTTAATTCATTCAGTATTAGCTATCACAGATATTAGCAACTCATGATTTGTCTACTTGACATTTCACAAGCAATTTGTAGCATGTGGGTTTGTTTTGTCCCCTAGCTGTATAAAAAAGTCTAATGTTAACCATATTCAAAGAAAGGTCTAATTAAATTAATACTCCTAATTTTACCAGAGTTAATTTTAATGACCTGGGCTTCATGGAGCAACGTGGTCAAAATTCCGGCGAGAATCAGAGGAAGGAGTTTGGCCATACTGACCTTCCCAACCTGGGGAGACACGGGACTATGATTATTATTCAAGATATCAGTATGAATATAATTTATGATACATGAAATTATTAGTAGTATCGAAAAAGAGCTCATCAGCACAGCTTGGTAGAATTTTCAATTCTAAGAGTCATAACTGAGTCATCTTCCTCACCATCTTTGAAACTCGATAATCGTTTTAAATTAGTTCTATAGATAAAAAGACTTTTCTTTTGTAAAGAAAAAATAGACAAAGTCTCTCGCATGTCCTTCGTTGATTGTCGTTATTAGCCCTAATTTTAGATCACTAGGAACGTTCCCTTCGCTCAATGTTCTTTTCCAGAGCAGTCAGAGGGAGCTTTAGTGCACTGACACATTTTTTCAGTAACACTGCAAGGACCCCACCTGGCCCGGTAGCCGAATAAGTCGATAATTCTTCGATACTACTCTCTAGATCCGGAGTTTCCAACTCATTGTTCATCAGCACCTGCCCCCTGGTGCTGGTGGTTCTTGAATGACTCCAATTTCGTTCTCCTGTCTTGAGTATCTGGGTTTGCTGAGTACTTATTCATACTGTGCTCTTAGCAGTTCGCACATGCCCTGGCATATACTTTCAAAACAAGTTAAGAGATCGTAAGTTCATCAGCCAATCATTGACGGCCTTTCTAGCAAAATCCACCAATCATGGACATGAAAATAGAGAGGAAGTACTTCACTTAGTTCACTTAGCAAATTTTGAAAGTATGACCCCTGGTCGTCTCCAATACGGACATCGCTATTTTTCAGAAGCCACACTGAGGCTCTGATTTTGTCCTTTGACTGGGTATATATGTAGAGATATTTGGGATTCCCCCAATGACAGACACCGCTTGAGCCTCCGTAACTTTTTGCTTAGCCTCGTGTGAGTCCTGCAACTGTTGTTCAGTGTCCTAAATTTTCTCTTTTAGATGTTCCATTCTCAGCCTCTCCGTATTACTGGTGGCGGCCGTTATCTGGTTGTTCAAGCTCGCTCGTTTTCTCATGAGGGTCTGTCCCTTGGAATTATGTGCCGTGTGGAGGTAGTTTTTCCAGGCGTGCGACACGCGCATACCTGCAGTAGTACATCACACAGCTTGTTACACTCTTTCGGTATTTAGCTCCAGGAACTTGGATCTCCAGTCGATTTCGAGGAGTTTGTTCCCAATGGTCTCGCAGACTGTTTTTCGATGATGAAAATGTAGCTCAGCCAGCCCCTCTCGAGGTGTAGGCCTGGGCTGGTTTCCCCTCCCAATTGTTGTCTCGACCACCACTAGTCGATGGCCTGACAGTGCGGTCTCCTCAACACGGATATCAGCAACCAGTTCTTCATTGCTGGTGAAGAATAGATCCAGGATATTGTGTTCCCTTGTTTCTCTCAGCACCTGTTGAGATTAGCAAGTGCTCCCTAGCGAATCGAAGTAGATGTGTTGCCTGGTTTCAGTCCTGATCTCTGTGCCGTCCTAAGCAAGTGTGGCCATCGTATGCGTGTCAGGTTAATATTTCCCGCAACCACAATATTTGGGGAAGTTTCACCCAATTTGGCCACCTCTGTTTCTATTCTCTCGAGAGTTTCATTGAATTTTTCATGTGGGCAGTCAGGCGGTCGGTATACGATGGCTATGCACAGTTGGAGATAGGAGATGTGTAGTATAACATGTTCCACATCTCCATTGGAGCCTAAATGCAGGGAAACTGTTTTGGCCGCGAGGGAGTTTCTGAGGTAGACTATAACGCCTCCATTTTTTCCTCCCTTCTTTTCGGTCGGCTCGGTAATGTTTAAAGCCTTTCATTTCGATTTCTCCATCTTGTATATCCTCCCTTAGATGTGACTCGGTTAAGGCAAGCATGATTATTCCTTCTGTATCAGCAATTTCTTTAATTAAGCCAACCACGAGGCGTTTTCTTTTTGGGAAGAGCCCCGCGATGTTGGCTATCATGATGCCAGATTCTTCCTTTCCTTGTGTTCTTAATTGCTGAAAAACTGCACTGCCAGGGGTCTCTGGCTCAGCAGCGGTTGCATTCGTTGTTGCGATTTCTGCTTGCAATGCCAACAGCTGCTGCATTTGTTGTTTAATATGATCTACTTGCCTATGTAGGCCTAAAAAATTACTGTGACTGATATCGAGTCCTCTTTGTCATTCCTCACTCTGGTAGGTTGCGGTGGCCGGTGCGGTAATTAATTGAACCGCCCTGTTTTTCCTTTGATTACGATAGATTCGCCCTTCCCAGAATTTTTTAACTATGTCATTTTTTCTGATGTTATAAGTTTGGCAGTATAATCTATCCGGTGATCCGGGAAGGAAGCATCAGAGTCCCGCCTCTCTTCGGCGTTACCTCTCTTCTGCAGGTTGAGTCTGAGGTGATGAAACCGACAGTTATCTCGTTTGCAATCTACATTTTTAATAATATTCCATCACAAGACCGGATGGTAGTATTGACAGTCTCTCCCACTTTTGGATCCGCGTTGGTTTTTGCTTCCAAATGTTGAAAATTTGTGACAGATCTTAGGGGTGAGAATAATTACAGTTCATTCCTTTATTCTCCCAATCGCACTTGCCCAGAAGATATCACCAGCAAACGCGTTTCTTAAAAGTTAAATGCCTCTTAATCGAAGCATTTAAATGGGAGAGGGGAAAGGCAAAGTTGCGGTTAGAGGTTGGGGTACTATGTTGCGCAGCAGTGAGGTAGGCGGGAGTAAACAAGGCTTGCGTAGAGGCGAGGGAGCACAAGTTAGGCCTAATTCTGCCGCCCGCTTCCCAGGCTAGGGGAAAAACCGAGTAAAACAACACCGCACGTCCGTTACGTCTCACGGCCAAAAAGCAACAGCGTTGGAACAAAGCGTTGGAACGTTCACTCTCATCCAGTCTTGCGTTGGAACGCTTACTCTTATCCAGGCCTGCGCTGGAACGCTCAGTCTTATCTAGTCCTGCGCTGGAACGCTCACTCTTATCCAGTCCTGCGTTGGAACGCTCAGTCTTATCCAGTCCTGCGCTGGAACGCTCAGTCTTATCCAGTCCTGCGTTGGAACACTCACTTTTATGAGAATGAGTGGCCAAAAATTATGAATTTCGTGATTTTGATCGTTAAAATTTTTACCTTTTATACCGAAGATATTTACGATATTAGCGCTTTGTTGAAGTTTATTTGATTGCTAAGTGAGGGCACTCAAGGAACGCTAAGTTCTGGCACTCAGTGAACGCTAAGTTCGGGCACTCAGAGAACGCTAAGTTGAGGCACTCAGGGAACGCTAAGTTAGGGCACTCAGGGACACTAAGTTAAGGCAATCAGTGAACGCTAAGTTAAGGCGCTCATTGAACGCTAAGTTAGGGCACTCAGGGAACGCTAAGCTAACACCTGACCAACATTACACCATCACATCCACCTCACAAGTGGAAGGCGGCGCCCCGCGGGGTGGCTACATATCCCCGTCCCGGTGTGGGGCGGAGAACACCACTCACCCTACATTCCCCACTAACCCTCTCTTCCCCACTAACCGTCCCTGTAGGTGTTGCAGAGGAACTGGGTTGTCGACGTGGCATTGGATCATTTATTTCATCATTAGGTGTATATATATCATTCATTTCATCATTAAGTGTATATATCATTCCTTATTAAGTGTATATATCGTTAATCCAGTCAAAGTTTTCGTTCCAATTGAGGTCGCCCCCGGTGGCAATGGATTCGGATTTTAGGTGAATCAGGTGCAGATAGGCCATTTACGGTGTTTGGCTTCTAATTAGTAGCCTCTTTTGAAAAATTGCCCGGTGAGCCGAATCTGCATAATGTGACTAAAAAGAACCGCTGTCAAGCTTCCTCATGATGCCTCTGGTCAAACGCTGATGAGGCTACCGGATGATGTAGCTGGTCTGGTCGCTCCTGCGCTCCCTCTCCGGCAAATCAGCTAGTCAAGCCCCCAACCAACCCATTTCGTTCAACAACTCTCATGCCACCGCGGACCACATTATAGCCACTTCATTCTGCCGCCAATTTACGCTGGTTCCCCACCACCAACGCGACCCCTCCTGCAGGTCCACCTACAGAGGCATCAAGCGCCGCAATCCTCTCTCCGACACACCCCCCGCCTTCACTCCGGATCAAACAAGACAGGCAGTTTGGAGCTCGGGTACCTCCACCGCCACCGGCCCGGACTCCCTCACCACCCTCCACCTCCATCATCTGGGTCCCAGAGGCATCCAGTACCTCACCAAACTTTTCAACCTGTTCCTTGCCAAGGCCAACATCCCTGCCATCTGGAAGTCAGCCACAATCATTGCCATCCCAAAGCCAGGCAAACCTCNTCCCACCTACACAGCGAAGCTGAGGTCTTACCCGTGGCCGAACACCTCTCTCTACTCTGCTCGCAGTTCCTGGCCAGTGCTCTACGTCCACACCACCCCAGCTACCCTATTGTCACCCAGACATCAGGGCCCCGCTCCATGAAGCACACGCTTCAGTCCCGCTTCCTCCCTTCCGTCTCTCACCTGCTGGTAGAGGGATCCCTCCCCCCCGACTCCTACTCCGCTGCCCTCAGCACCCTGCACAGCTCCGCTGTCTCATCCTTCCTGGCCTCAGCAGCTCCCAACAAGGTGCTGCTGACCCCTGCCCCCACTGTCTCGTCCAGCGAGCTTTCCCTCCCCAGGGCGGCCAGAAGCGCCCTTTCCCAACTCCGCTCTGGCTACTCATCCTTATCCTACTCATCCTACTCATCATCCATATCTGGCAACTCGTACCTTGCCCGCATTGGTGCAGCCAACAACCCACTCTGCCCTGAGTGCGGCGATATAGACCACACCACCCAGCACCTCTTCAACTGCCCTTCGCATCCCACCTCGCTGACCCCGCTGGACCTCTGGTCTAACCCTGGGCCGACTGCGGCTTTCCTCTCGTCGCTCCCATCCTTCGCCGACATCCTTGGAGTGGAACCTCCGCTCCCCCCTCCTCCCCCGGAGCCGCCGCCTCTTCGTGGGCGCCGCCGAGCAGCGGTCCCGGGCAATTAACAACAA